CTGCCCTTGAGCAGGATGACCACACGACCAAGTTCTAGTCAATGACAGACAAAGGGGAGGTGTTATACAGAACTGAGGTAGCATTCCCGCCCCGCCCCCCCAAAAAAGGAAAAGGCCCTTTTTGCCTTTCCGTGTTTCTGCCTCCTTCGAGGTTTGGACAAGGTGGCCAGCACTTTAGCAGTGGTCTTCAGCCAGGAGGTGACCTAGAGAATAAGAACCCTGCTTTAAAATGATGAAGCTGGGACTGGGGATTTAGCTCAGCAGCACAGCGCCTGCCTGGCAAGCGCAAGGTCGTGAGTTCGATTCCCGGTACCAGAAAAAAAAAAAAAAAAATGATGAAGCCGTACTCAGGAGGCAGAGGCAGGAGGACTGCATTGCCATCAGTTCCAGGCCAGCCCAGGGTACATGGTGAGCTCAAGACCAGCTTGGACTATATAATGACACCCTATCTCAAAAAATAACAACAAAAAATAAATAAAAATTAAAAAATAAAATGATGAAGCAGGAAAAAAAGAAAAGGCTGGTGCCCATAGTGACCACAGAGCAGCCCTGGATTTCCTGGATCCTGGAGGGTGCATCAGGCCTCTCCTGACAGGCTTCTTTTTCAGGAAGCCAAACATCACCCCTGCTGACAGCCACATTCCTGTCATGTAGATATAATCTCTCTGCTGAGTGAAGGCCACAGCAAAAAATCTCTAAATCCACTTTTCCTTGAGGCTCACAGTTTAGGGGAGTAGCTGAGCACTCCTATTTTCATAAAGCTGATTCACCTAGGCCTTCTGGCACAGGCAAAGAGGAGCCGAGGCTATACTTTGAGACTATTCCAGAAGTGCTGATGTGGAGAGATAGTCAAGCTCTGTTATTAATTTAAAATGTAATCAAGCAGCAAATATTTATAGCACACTTACAAGGTGTTGCCCTATTCTAAGACTTTATTTACTTTACCTTGTAACATCATCTCTTTCTATTCTTCCAACAGCCCCACAGATCAGGTGACATTGTTATGCTCATTTTGCAGATTAGGAAACTGAGGCACACACAGGTGGCTGGCCCAAAATCACACACCTCATGTGCATGTAATTTAAACACACATGAGGTACAGAAGTATAGCTGTATTAGTCAGCTTCCCATTCCTGGAATGAAATACTTGACATACACAGCTCCTCACAGTCACCCAGGTATCTGCCATCACTTAACCCACACCCGGTGGCTTGGAGGAGGTAGCGTGGCTGGTTGCACCCCTCTGGCCACAGCCATGGCAGTGAGTGACAGCTCAAACACCCACACATACATAGCTGAGTACATGCCATATCCCTGGAGAATGTGAGTCATCCCACATCTCATTATGACTCAAGCCAGCCCAAACAGACTCAGTGGAGAAAGGATTTAATGTCATCATTGCAAAGTACAGATTCTCTCTCTTTTACCTGATGTGAGCAAAGAAGAAGGCTGTTCCAGTTGGCACTGGCAGTCATTTTGTGCCTATGAGGAAAAGCAATAGAAGTGCAAAGCTGCCTCAAGACCCAAGGAGATGATGGCTCAGCAGCCAGAGAAGATACAAAAGAAAGAGATAAACTTTCTGAGTGGATTAAAAGCAGGAGTTCAGGGGTCCATAGAGGGGAGTGAGAAAAATGGAGAGGAAAACAGGAAGACAAGGGCTGGTGATTTAGCTCAGCGGCACAGAGCCTGCCTGGCAAGCACAAGGTCGTGAGTTCGATTCCTGGTACCAGAAAAAAAAAAATTAAAAAGATGAGAAAACAGGAAGACAGACGGTATTAGGAAGGTGGCTAGACATTAGTCTACCAAAGTAGTATGCCCTGCCAGTTAACTGAAGAGAAAAAGATGTCAATGTGTAATATTTTTATAATCATTTCTTAGGTCTCAGGCCCAAAGTGATCCTTCAGAGCACAGTGACATCTTAAGGTCACACATAGTGTACATTCGAGACCACCTGGCCATCAAGCTCCAGAAGAAGGCACATAGCATTCCTGGCTGCCACAGCCTGCAGCTCATCCTCACACCCTCTCAACCAGTGAGGGGCAGGAATCAGTGCATTAACACCCAGGCCCTGTCCCTTAGAGGGGCAAATGGGGACACATGATGATTCTCCAGAGTGCCCCCTTCAGGAATGAGCCCAACCTGCCCACCAAGTTAACCTCATCAGGCCCTGGTGGCACACTCCCTCCCCAGCACTTCCTAGGGTCACCTCCTGCACTAGATGTATTTCCCAAGGATGGGCACAACAGCACCTTCCACCCTACATTCAGGACCTTGCTGAATCCTACTGTATGTCTCCTTCCCTTGTGTCTAGGGGGGCTGTGACAGCTCCCAAAAATAGGATGTTGCATGAGCTGGGCGTGGTGGCTCACACTTGTAATCCCAGCACTCAGGAGGCTGAGGCAGGAGGGTCATTGCAAGTTTGAGACCAGCCTGGGCTACAAAGTGAGCTCAAGGCCAGCCTGAACTGCATAGTGAGACTCTGTCTCAAAAAAACCAAAAAAAAAAAAAAAAAAATAGGATGTTGCAGAAAAGATGCTGTATGACCTCCAACCCCAGCTGGGAAAAGACCAGGGAGCTCCTATTAGGTCCCCTCAAGACACCTGTTCCTAGAAGCAGTGGCCACGCTACAAAGAGCCCCTACCCTAGGAGATTGTGTGCAGCTGTCCTGGCTACTGGCCCAAAGTGAGGCTCCAGGCCACAGGCAGGAGCATCCACCTGATGTGGAAAGACTCCTGCAGATGAGTCTAGCCCCAGCTAGCAAGTCACCCCACAACTGACAACCTAGACGCTGGAGAGAAGACTAGTATGCCCACTGTGAGCCACTGTGACACCTGATCTGCTGACCCACAGAACCTGCAAACATAGTAAAATGGCTGTTTGATGCCACTCATTCTGGAGTGATTTCATCCACAGCAGTTAACAACTAAAACATCCAAGTAGCCACCTGCACCAAGTCCCTGCCTAGGGAACCCTTCGGAGAATCCAAGCTAGAAGAGTTGCTTTGGCTTCTGGCTCCAGGTGTACAAAGGCAAGAGGCCCGGATGAGGCAGCTGACCTCCTCCCAACTGAGGCTTACATCTGGTCTCTTGCCTTAGGGAAGAGCCGGACTAACAATGGGATTGCTGATTGGCCATGCCTGGTCAGGGAGGGAGTGGCCCGCAACCACACAGTCCTGAGTGGCAGAGGAAGGCTCTCACAGGAGAACAAGGCTGCTGTAACCGCCTCAGTCCTGTTCAGAGCTCAGATCCACGCATGTCAGGGAGGAAACCCCTCCTGAGTCCAAGGGTGAGCACCAATCAATCTAAGCCGACTATAGTAATTCTACTCCTCTTGCTAAGGATTGGTTTAGGCATGGACATGATATAATTCTTGTTCCTGGTGGGGCAAGGGTTGGAGGAAACTAAGGAAAGATTTCTTTACTCTTAAAAAAAGAAGCACAAAGGGATATCCTAACTTCTTCTGAATGCAGTTATGCAGTGATGTGATGCTTCAACTATAGCATCCACACTGGCACCATGAGGGGCAAGCCTGAGGATGACAACACCACAAGATATGCAGAACTGGGGTCTTTGGTGGCATTTATTCCATAGCCTCTTCACTAACGTTGGATATACCTACCTCCAATCAGTCATCAGTGTGAGTGGGGCCTCAGGTATCAACAGTAAGAGTTTGACCCCAGGGACAGGGCCTCAGTGAGTGTGGCTTATGGCTTAGGAAAGAAGCCGCGTTTCATTTTCCCACTCCAGAACCACAGTCACATCTGCCTCACTCTGGTATCGACTAAGTGGTTTTGGAAAGGACAGCTTCCCTCTTTATGAAATTCTCTAACTCAGTAATACCAGGACTGAGTATGGAGTCAGCCCTCTTTCTGAAACAAAGTGTAATTTAGGTGTTCACAGGGATTATGTTTGGGACCTGTAGAAAGGGCAAGGTCAAGGTCAAATTCTCAATAGCCTCAGCATCCTAACGTTTGGCCTTCAGCAGCGAGATGGGAAAACTGCAGACTGGAGGTTTACAGGCAACAGCAGTCCCTGTCTCACAGATGGGGGCAGAGAGTGGGGCCCTGGCCTTGAACGCAGCCCACCCCTGCCGCCTCTGGCTTCGCAGGCTGACCTGGTAAGGCGAGGACCACCCAAACCAGACTCCGTCACTCTCCCTTTCCTGCCTAGCTGTTGAGCTCTGCTGGGAGAGGGCCTGACCTTCACCTTCGGCTGACCTGCCTTGGTCACGTGGTTTAGGAACCAAACCTGCTTCCCAGTGGTGCTGCGACTGCCACGGCACAGTGTGACCTCAGGGCAGCACGCTGGGACACAGGAACTGGCTGCTGAACCGAGGGAGCCAGCAGCAGGGGTTGAGGAGGTGGCGTTTAGAGCGGACTGGTTTGGAATCCAGGCTCAGACACTTCCATGATACCGGGTAAGTGTCGTAAAATTCTGTGCCTCAGTTTCCTCGTCTGCAAAATGGGACTAATAATCCTGCCCGCCTGCAAGATTGTTTGGAGGGACCTGCACAGTCCGCACCAGGTGCTACGGTCACTGCCGTCGGCGCTGTTTTCCCTGCGCTCAGACCGAAGAGCCCGGATGCGGTGCCCGGGTTTCGCCGACTCATCCTAGCTCCGCAGGTCCGGCCGCCCCGCCCCGCCGGCCCGCTGGCTGAGTCACCGCGCCCGTCCGGCCGCCCCGC